CTACACGCCCTGTTTCTGACTGCTTACAGTGCTGTAAAATGAGTTGCTTTATTAGTAACAATGGAAAACTGGTACGAGTGGGAGAGAAAGCAGAGCCAGAGCATCCTGGGGCATGCTGTGTCATTCCAGCAGGAAGTTTCTGTGGCAAACTGCACAGCAAAGGATTCTTATAAACCAAGATTCCTTCAGCTAGAACCTCAAGCTAAGAGACAGACTCCTAGTACTTACAAGGACAGGGCCATGCAGTTAAATTAGGAAGACTTCCCTGGGGCTTGAGATGATCTTCAGCTTGTGGCATAATAGTTGGAGAATGAAATATGACTAGGCCAGGAGTCGAAACCTCTCTTGAGTTTGAAAATCCATCCAAAGCTGACTGAGTTAGCTCCTAGCAGGGTCGCCTACTATCCCATTTTTGGAGTTATGGCATTTCTGGGTGCTGCTTGCAGTGCTGGTATAACCCCATCCCTTGCATCCTGCTGCATGCTTCCCACTGGGTGTGTCATCCTGTGACTACTGTCAGTGTCTCCCACCCCTGCTTCTCCTGCACATGCCCAGGTTTGAAGCTTCTGCATGACGTCTGGCAATGTTGATTTATTTTGTGGGTAACCTTTGCTGAATGACTGTTTTGAAAAAGCAGAGAATGTTTTTCACCTCCTTTATGCCTTTTGTTTGTGTTGTTTATTTATTTGGTCTTGATTTAAAAAAAGCTGAGATTTGCTTAGAGATTTTCCAACTTCCTGTTTGTTTCTTTGACATGAAGCCTACCCCCTCCCCATCCTTGCCGTCTCCAAAGGAAACGGGAAGTGCTGCCTCTGTCTCTGAAGCAACCAGCAGCCTACATCGTAAAAATCCCAGAGAAATCCTAACATGCAGGAAGAGCCTATTTCCATGACCTTTAGCGGAGGTAGAAAACCGGTTCCTGTTAACGTGAGGCCACTGACATTCACAACAGAAAAGTCCCTTATAACAGTAGGAATCTGATTTGCTGCTGTCTTTCTTCAGCCTTTCACCGGGATAGCTCCATTCATCTCAATGGCCCTGTAAGCTTGAAACAGTGCTGTGGTGAATCTAACCCACACCCCTTAGTATTTGACAGCACCTATCAAAGTACATTTGGAACAGTTTCCAGTGGTGATTCTGTATGGTTTGGGCTGATTCCTGTAGCATGTTGTCACTGTTCTTTATTTGTAAGAATCAAAAAGCCAAACCAGACTTAAACCCACAGATGCACAGAGATCATTCAAATTGGTGCAATATGGATCTGAGTCAGATGAGAAACACTGCTAAAAATGTAATCCTAAATAGTAGTGTTGGTACCAATAATAATGGTAAGGAGGAGGTCAGGAAGTCCCAGCTAAAGTTAAATTGGTCGAACTGAATTAACACAAATAAAAATTACTTAAGGAGGCTGGGAAGGGAAGGATAGGAGTAGACCTAGATTTGAGTCTCAATGCCAATGTTAAGTTAGGCCTCAGTCTTTCATGGAAAAGCACATGGATGCTGTCCTGTTAATTCAGTGCAAGTTTGGGGCCAAATCGTGGCTTTAGTAAAATAAAGGATAGTGACGCCAGCTCCTTCCAGAAGCAGCGTGAGATTAACTTGT